GGCCAGCTACCACGCGCGCTACAAGTGGCCACCGGTGTGACCACTGTGCGTAATTTCAGTGGAGGGGGGCGCCGCCATTTTGTGCTTTGGCTTGTACTCACCCCGGGGGGAGGCGGCGGGGCTGGCTCCGATCGCAGATCGGGGGGCGCGCAGGCTTCTTAACTTAATATTGTCACTCCCATTTTGGATCGCACGCCCAGAATCTCCTGGAGTCACTGCTTATATGTTAATCCTGTGTCTTTTATTGTCATTGAAGCTATCTCATACCATGCACTCTGTCTCCTCCTACACGCATTGCTCAGACCAGGCTATGAGTGTGAAGGCACTACTTCCTGGCTCCGCCGAAGAGATGATTTGTTTTTATTTTACTAGATTCCGATGGCAATAAGGTATCAATTATAAGTTTGTGCTACGATAGAGTGAATGAATCTATAAGTGAAATCCAGTAGTAGCCTAACTTGAGCTCAGTTGATGCTTTCAGCAGTAATTAGTACATTGGCTGCATTTCAAACATTGCTTATATTGACATTTATTATCACTTAGGTTGTGTATCAAATCTTTTGTGTCTTGTTCTGTTATTAAGCTATACCTGGCACAGATTTCATAATCAAACATTGCTTATACTGATATTTACTATCACTTAGATTCTGTATTAATTCTTTTGTGTCCTATCCTGTAGTTAAGCTATACCTGGCACAGATTTCATAACATGCATTTCAAACATTGCTTATATTGATATTTACCATCACTTAAATTCTGTATTAATTCTTTTGTGTCCTATTCTGTAGTTAAGCTATACCTGGCACAGATTTCATAGCATGCATTTCAAACATTGTTTATATTGATATTTACTATCACTTTGGTTCTGTATTAATTCTTTTGTGTCCTATTCTGTAGTTAAGCTATACTTGGCATGGATTTCATAACATGCATTTCAGGCATTGCCTATATTGATATTTACTTTCGCTTAGGTTATGTTTTAATTCTTTTGTGTCTTATTCTGTAATTGAGTTATGCCTGGCACAGATTTCATAGCATGCATTTCAAACATTACTTATATTGATATTTATTATCACTTAGGTTGTGTATTAATTCTATTGTGTCTTGTTCTGTTATTAAGCTATACCTGGCACAGATTTCATAACATGTATTTCAAATATTGTTTGTATTGATATTTACTATCATTTCGATTATGTGTTAGTCTTTTCTGTCTTATTCTGTACTTGAGCTCTGCCTGGCACATATTTATATTGATATTTTTCTCTCACTTGGATTCTGTGTTAATTCTTTTGTGTCCTATTCTGTAGTTAGGCTATACCTGGCACATATTACATAACATGTGTTTCAGGCATTGCCTATATGGATAATTACTAACACTTGGGTAATGTATTAGTTCTCTTGTGCCTTATTCTATAATTAAGCTGTACCTGGCACAGATATCATAGCATGCATTTCAAATATTGCTTATATTGATATTTGTTCTCACTTAGGTTGTGTATTAATTCTTTTGTGTCTTGTTCTGTTATTAAGCTATACCTGGCACAGATTTCATAACATGTATTTCAAACATTGCTTGTATTGATATTTACTATCATTTTGATTATGTATTAATCTTTTCTGTCTTATTCTGTGATTGAGCTATACTTGGCACGGATTTACTAACATGCATTTCAAACATTGCTTATATTGAAATTTACTTTCTCTTATGTTCTGTATTAATTCTTTTGTGTCCTATTCTGTAATTAAGCTATACCTGGCACGGATTTCATAAGCTATATCCGGCACAGATTTCATAGCATGCATTTCAGACGTTGTCTAAATCAATCTATGATTGTGAAAGTACTATTACTTAGCTCTGCTAGGGAGATACTTTGTAATTATTCGGTTAAACTCTGACTGTAATAAAGTGTTAACTATTAGTTTGTACTGTGACAAGTGAGGTTAAGTGGCAACAGTTAGTATCTTGTGTACCATTACCTATCACTTGGAGTATCTATTAACCTTATGTTCTGTAAACAAATTTATCCCTGACGTAACTTTCAGATCATGCATTTTCTTCTTTCCCCTAAGTGTTGCTTCGACTATGCTATGAGTGTGATAATCCTATTTCTTGGTTCTGTTCAAGAATTAGTTTGTTGTTATTTAACTGGACTCTTATGGCATTACAGTAGTGATTATAACTAGTACCATGACAATGAAGTCAACTAGCCACCTAACTTGATTAAATTTGAGGCTCTCAGCAGCAATTAGTATATTGATATTTACTATCACCTAAACTATGTATTAATCTTTTGTGTTTCATTCTGTAATTGAGCTACCCCTGACACAGATTTCATAGCATGCATTTCAATCATTGTTTATATTGATATTATGTGTTAATCTCTTTGTGTCTCATTCTGTAGTTGAGCTATACCTGACACAGATTTTATTACATGTATTTCAGACATTGCCTAAGCTTGTATCATGAGAACTGACCTCCAGTAGCCAACTAATGTGAGTAAGGTTGAGGTTTTCAGTAGTAATTAGTATTTTGACAATTTTTCTACATCAGTTACTATACTGTGTATTGTGTGTTAATCTTATATGTCTTTTTTATATAGTTAAGCTATATCTGCTATAAGTTTCCTAGCATGTATTTTCTTCTTTTTCTATAGACATTGTTTGGACCACGCTGTGAATGTGCATGTTTTATAAGTTAGTTCCGTTAAGGAAGTAATTTGTTATTATTTAGCTGACCTCCTATGGTAATAAAGCATCGGCTATTATCTTGTATTACGACAAGTGAAATTAAGCATCTACCTAATTTGAGCAAATATGAGGCTTTCAAGTGACCAGCTAACGTGGGATTCTGCACGTGCGACCCCGTTCCTACACCCTATAACTCGTCGCGCAGTATTACTCTTATCAACTTCGTTCGTTTTTGAGGTTTCATTAATTCTAGTTTTCATTTGTGGTCGTGCCACCCGGCCCGGGCGTTTTTACCTGCCCCCGGGTGGCTCGACCGGCCGGCCTCTGGTCCCGCGCAGCTCGACCGGCCGGCCTGTGCACGCGGTGGCGTACCCACGCTATGTGGGCGCCATCTTGTATTTTGCATTCTTTTTCGGAAAAACCTGTCTAATATTGTTCAAATTTGTTGTTTTTACTTAATAAATAGGTTCGATGATTACCTATATCCTAAATCTGTTCCGTTATTTGGTTATGTGCCGTTTCAACGTTAATTTATAGGTACTATCGGGTGTTTGGAGGGGCCACGTGGCCCGCTCGGCACTCCGGCGGCCTTTTGCTTCACCTAACGCTTGTTTTTAATGCTTGTTTGTGCTTTTTACTATTAATTTATGATCAGATTGTATGCTTGTTGCATCAAATTGTACTATCTCTTTACCCTGATGAGGTGTTGGTGGTGCAATGCCACCGGGGAGCTTATGCGGAGCTCGGCCCCTCCAATCCCGGCACTGCGGCCCCCATATGTATGATGCTTGTTACTATTAATGAATCTTACAATAATTATTACACATTACATGAACACTGCACTATAACACTGGCCACCATACGCACTTGGTAATACGAGAGCATGCCACTACCGCACCGCGCCGCCACCCACCCCGGCCCCGCAGGGGCCGGCTTTTTTACTCACTCATTTTTTTTGTAGATTTATCAAATCTTGATATGCCTTCCCCTTGCAGTGTAGTAGCACTCACTTCTATTCACTCGCACAACACTATTCACTCATAAAACCGGCTTGATGCACACGATATCTTTGGATTTTACCACCTCAGCCGGAGCGACCGCCAAACACGTCCGGCACGGTATAGCGCGCGCGTGCCCCTGCCGGAGACCAAGTCCGGCGCGCCCCGCTACGACAAGCGGCGAAACTTGGTGGCCGCCGGGAGCTCTTCGGAGACCCCGGCGGCCGGCGGCTCGCTCGCCGGGGTCCCGTAAGGCGCCCCGGAAGTGAGTGTTGGACTTTGAAAAATTTCAAAGTCGGAAAAAAGAGCACACGCCAACGACTTGGAAATCGCATCGAAACGTCAGACCGCGGGCTGAAGCGCCGAATGCCCGACGCAACCCGCAGATCGCCGGGGAAAACGATCCGACGCCGGGGAAAACTGCCCGTACCGAACACCTTCAGACAGGGTTTCTCCCATTTATAATACATTTATTTTCGATGTTATTTTGTACATTAGAGGGTGACTTCTCATCACATTTCTTTTCTACTTATAATTCTACTTATGTTACACTTATATTGTACTTATAATGCTACTTATGCTACACTTATATTTATGATTGTTCGGTGGCACTATTTTGTGTCCGACCTCTTGATGTAGTGTCTGAGGCGTTGCCTCTCTTGTCGCACTTTTGTTTCTGTTTTTCACTAATCCTAGCTATCTTATCTAACCTATTTACATTATTCTACTATCCTAAATCGCATGTGTCCTATCACGTCCTTGTTGCAATGCGATTGTTCTACTTTTTTGTTTCTGTTCACTCACACTAGCACACGCTATCACTCACTATTCTTGTCTTCTTCATGGTGCCTTGACTCTTGTGGTGTTTTTCTTTTCCTGCCCCACCCCAATCGGGCTTTTGGTCGGGCCGATCCCCGTGAGCACCCTAGTCACTCGTCGGGCATGCTCGACGGTACTCCACGGGGATCAGATCCTTCCGGGCTACGTGGTCGAAGTAAAGGGCCGCGCTTCCATTGATCGCCTCTGCCACAATCCGCTCTCTGGTGACTTTGAGCTTGGATTTCGGCAGAAGCTTCCGGAGCGCAGCAGCGCTGGCCTCGCACCACTCGCCCAGAGCTCCTACCACTAGTGGCAGGAACTCGATCTCCCTGTAGTTTCTATTGAGGAGTACCGGGCGGATCTCGTGGTACCTCGCGGCCTTCTCCGCGTACCTTTGCTCCATGGAGCCCTGGTACGCGACACAGACCGCGGCATCCACACAGACCGCCTGATGCCCCTTTCCTAGAACTAAATCAGGGCGACCCCGACCCGCGATAGCCTGATCTTCGAACAGGACACTCCAGCCATTAGCCACGGCCGCGTTTTTGAGGTGCGCGAGCACGCGGTTATGGCGGAGCGTCCTGGCGGCAGCGTGTGAGTTACACTCGGCTATCACGTGCCCGATTGTCTCCGTCGCGGGGGAGGAGGAGTCCTTGAGCTGCATGCAGCCTCGTCGGCACTTCCTATCCTCCCTCGCGTGCTGCGGCTGGTGCCTCGGCCTTGTTGAGGCGCGCCGCGTGGATGAATTTGTAGATCGGCGGCCTCATGTTTTCACCGGTACGGAGAAAGTAGGTGGACTCTCTCCCCACTCCCTCTAGCGCGTGGGCAAAGATTCCCTGCTGCTGTTGTTCCCGCCATCCGCTCGCATGAGCCCTAAAGACTAGGGCTCTTATCTTTTTTACGAGCAGGTGGCGGGTTCTGTGAGTGATTATTTCACAGTCGGCAGGGTCTCGCCCAGCGTCCAGGGGGCTGGTCCACCTCCGGTGGGGGGGGGGGGTATTCCGCTGGGGGCCGCCTGGGCGGCGCAGCACTCTCCTCGGTCTTCGGGGGCTGTCGTCACTCGGCGGTCCCGTCTGCCCCGGGGCGGTGGCGCCGGCTGGAGAAGGCGCGTTGCTCTCCCGCGCCGGCAGCTCGTCAGGGTGGGGTAGGCATGGGGGTCTCCTCTGCAGAGCTGCCACCGGGGGGGAGTCGGAGGGGGGAGGTCTTCCATCTGGCTGACTTGCCATGGATTTTGGGGGGCGGTGAGTTAGTCCTCTTCCTCTGGTCCGTCGCGTTCCGGCTCGCTTTCTTCGCCCCCCTCCTCCCCGTCCTCCTCCCCGTCCTCCTCAGCGAGCTCCGGAGTTTCCACGCGGTTTGTGGTGGCGGTACTCCTCCGGGTGCTCAGCTTCACCTCCCCCGGGAGCTCGATGCGGGGGAAGCCCATGTCTTCGTCTGTACTGGGCGGCAGCCACCGGACGCCCAGCCTCCAGGACGCGCAGCGGGCACGGGCGAAGCAAGAGGCGTTGAGAGTGTTGATGGAGGAAGCGGCGGAATTAAGATATGAGTATATGTCCCCGCCACCAATTTCCCTCCCGTGCGCTCTCCTTGCCTCGGCCTCGAGGTCGGCGGTTGCCTCCCCTCGCACCCACTCGTCCGGGCTGGTCAGGAGCTTGTAGGCGGTGTCTACCGCCCAGATGTCGGCCTCCGTGGTGGCCTGTAGTAGGCCAACCCCTCCGTCCTCCCTCCCGGCGTAGAGGAAGTGATTGGAGGATCCGTTGCTGAGAGACAGGAATTCCCTAACCCGGGCCCTGATTGCTTTATCGTACACCCCCAGCATGGCCTTCGAGAACCTGCCCATGCGTAGGGGAAAAACCGTCGCAGGCTGCACAAACTGCGCCACGGCGTCGAGCTTTGGGTGTCTCTCAAAGCCGACGCCGCGATACAGTCTAACAGCCGCTCCTGGTCCTTTAACCCCTCCCATGACTGGACAAGGTTGAACCCGACCGGCTTCCCAATGTAGCGGGCGGATCCCCCCTCGGCCATACACGGGAGGGGCGTGTCAACCCCCTCCACCTGGAGCAAGAACTCTTTGATCTCTACTCGCCCACGCAGGACGCACAGGGTCCGGCACTTGCTCGCTTTGAGCTTCAGGCCTAGTGTCTGCAACACCCTGTGCGCTTTCGCGAGGTTGGCCTGTAGCCTATCAGGCGTCTTGGCCAACAACGCGATGTCATCCGCGTAGGCGAGTGCGGGTGGCGGAGCACCCGCGGCTGGTTCCCCGAGCGCCCTCAGAGTTGGGTCTACTGTCATGTTAAACAGCAGGCCGCTCAGGGGGCACCCCTGCCGGATGCCGGAGAGCATGGGGATCTCCTCCGTTATCCCCGCGGCACAGGTATACTGGGTGGTGTTCCCAGCAT